ACAACAACTGGCGCTATGAAGCGCACGATGCTAGTAATAACGCGGTATATACTTAGTAACGTTATAAAGCGTAAAAAACGCTAAGTAACGCCATGAGGCGTGGAGCAATAGCTTAAGCTATGAATTGCGCGGAAGGCAAATAGCGCTACAAAGCGTTGGCAAAAATGCTGTCGCGCTATCAAACGAGAATGGGATGACCCAAATAGCAATAAAGTGTGAAAAGCAGAAGAAAACAAAAAGTCAGGGAACGAGAGCAGAACCGTCCAACGATAAAGCTAAAACGACAGACTTAAATCTAAACGGACAAAATGTCGTGTTGTGACCATCCCGAACAGGTGCAAAAACAGAAGAAGGGTCAGAGAACTCAACCACTTGAAGAACGGAAGGCCTGTCTACCCATCGGAAAAACGGTTGGCCAAAAGGCTGCTGAAAGCCACTTGGGGATAACGAGAACGACCCGAGCACCGCACACCTCTAAATGAAAAATTGTACGACTAATAAGATAAACAGGTAACACCAAACAATTGTTCTCGCCCGCCCAATCAACACTGAAAGCGTCGACGCCTTACTTCCGCACCGGGACACCAAAATTTGGAATAAAACCTGGCACACTTGGCTGAATCTGGGGAAGCGAACCTATCAACTGTGAAAGGACCGAAAAGAGACGAAAGGTTTGCGAAAAAACCTGTAGAAACACTCCAATCGTCAAAATCAATAACTCTACTCAACGAAACAGTGTACTCATAAGGAGACCTGGGGACCCACTCAATTTCAATCGACACATTATTAACGGCACGAAACTGAAAGATTTCCAAAGCCTGACGCTGCAGTCTAAGTAATGAACTGCCCTTACTGGCGATAATAGAAGCATTTTTGCTGTCTGTGTACAATTTGACTACTTTGCCCTGAATAAGCGACTTAAACGACTTAAGCGAGTAAAGGATAGCAAGCAATTCCCTACCATTGCCATCAAGAGTGGATTCCATAGAGGAAAAAGCTTCGTAAAACAGTTCAAACTCCTCCTTGTCAACAAAAAGGGCATGTCCTCCACACGCGAAGGCACTAGCGTCAGTGCAGATAATAGAAACTGGCCGGGAGTACTCAAATAACTTCCTACGGTTGAGCTTAGCACAATTATCGAGCCAGAAATTAATTTCGTCCAAGCATTGTGGCTAAAATTGGAAACGACTCAAATCAAGAGCAGTATCCCAAGCATCGCGAAAGGTGACTGTTGACCCAAGAACTGTTGATGGGGCCGAGAGACTTCAATGTGGTGGTACTCCGATTTCAAATGGAATTTGTACATATAACCACCCCGCGACAAGTGTTGCAGGGAAACCTTCCAATCTTCCATCCTGAATTTGGCTTTTGGGATACAGCTGTTAACATGACGGAGATCGAGAATGAGCCTAGGTTTCCCTTCCGAATTAACGGACACTGCGAGAGGATTGATGACCATAGTAGGTGTAAGGACTTCGGATATCAATCCCAATTTAAGAAGATCGCAAACAGCAGAGGAAACAAAATCACTATGTTCTAGAGCCGATATGTTACTAGACAAGCAAATACCGGGAGGGGGATAACATAGCCTGACCTGATAGTTTCTAGGACCCAAGGAGGTGCCCCAATCTCGACCCAAAATGGTAAGTGTGCCCTTAGTCGGCCCTTAACTACCGCTGCAGCGGTATCTTGCTCGTACTCATACAAATTCTGTTTATAAAACGCTAGAGAAGAATTGCCAATAAACTTATCTTCCATAAGTGTCATGAACTCCTGGGATACATCAGGTTGATAGACGGTGGAAACAGCTCCTTGGCCGGTGCTCAATAAATCTGAAACGCTTGAAGACAGGTTGCCTAAGAACTGCGAACGTGAGTTAGCGTAGGGTGCGACACTCACAAGGAGTGGTATATAGGCCTGATTATCCTGATAGGAACTAATACAAAGCAACCTAATTAAACACCCAAAAGAAATACATTTTCTTTTTCAGTGAATTGTCATGAGGCAGACAAAAATTTCTCTATATGGCCCGGCCATATAGAGAAATTTTTGTCTGCTTCCTACTTTTGTCATCGGGTCATTGACTGCATTGACAATTTTTGTTTGTTTTCATGGCTCTGAAAAGAACATTTCAATACTAAGCGGTCACTATATAATGTTTTCTTTGCAAAACAATATTGTCACGTTTACTTCTCATATGGCTCACTAATAATCTCAGAAGAATGCTAAAAGCTCAAAACGATGACAAGGTACTTCTGAGCATATCCCTGTTTCCATAGCCTGGATGAGATGCAAGTCAACTGCAGGGTTACCCCCAGCATTAAATTCAGTGCTACCCATTTATACACCTGGGTGGTGAGAAGCATTGCAAAAGTATTGGTGAAGTGTTTTACCCAAGAACACGATGTGATGTCCCCAGCCAAGGCTCAAACTTGGACAGTTCAATCCGGAGTCCAGGGCGCTGACCATTTGGCCACCATGGCTTGTCCAATTACAATGGAAGCTGGGTTAAGCTCTCTTATTATTAATGGACACTCTTGTAAGCAGACAGTTCTATTTACGGCTGTCTTCACAAAACTCTCTTTGAACAAGTTGTTTATTTACTCATTCCCATAATTGGGCATTCCCATAAGCTGCCCTGAGCACTTTGAGGGTGTATGATATAGACTTTTCCTTTGTTTTATGCTCGTGTCAGCGGACACCGAAAAGGAATTGGGTGTGACTATGAAAGACACTCAAACATTTGTAAATTGTATCACTGTTTTTTGTTGCAGTGGGACTGTTAATGTTGGCTGCAATTATGATTTGCTCTTAATTATTAATAATGACCAGTCCTAATAGTACAGTATACAGTACTGTATTCAGTCATTGCCATGATTGCATCATTGCACAATGTAATAGAACAAAAAAGAGTCATTTAATAATATATAGATTTAGGCCAGCCTAAAAGCGTAGCTCCTGGGCCGGGTTGTTCAGAGCCCGATTAAGCTAACCCAGGAAAAGGTAGAATTTTGATTTCATGTAACTTTGCGGTGAGGTTTTCTGTATATTGTTTGGCCTTCTGTTTTGAGTTTTAATAATCGCCATATACACAAAACAAAGCAGCAAAAAACATTTGTATAGAAGAAAAAGTTATAATTCGGTTAACTTTTAATCCTGGGTTAGCGTTAACCGCCTTCGGAACAATCCTGCCCTATTTTCAACAAGTCAAGCTGACACGAGCCTGCGATCCAATCAAAAACCAGCACTTGGTCAGCGGTCAACTTCAAAAAACACGTGACCTCAATGACCTGTCAACTTGAGCCCGCGATATGGTCACGTGATACTGGTCAGCAGATACCTTGTTTTGACAGGTGTCAATTGATCATAACATGGATGTCCAATATCAAASAAGTACACGGTAAACCAAGRCTGCATGTCTCYGTCAACCTATTATTTGGAGTATGGCSGCCATGTTGCGCGACTCCGTCGTCGTCGTCGTCGTCGTCGTCGTCGTCGTYGTCGTCGYCGTCGCCGTCGTGCGTACGCGCCCACGAGCAATACCGCTAGCCAYGATAACCATGAGAAAATCAACTCATGGGTTTCCTTTTCTTTCCTATATGAGTATGGGGCTCCGCTTGGCAGCCCTTCGGGCCGCCGGAGTTACGCTATGACAGTATTTCTTGTAATTACAATGTTTCTAGTTAGCTGGGCATCCCTTATCCATCCCTTACACCCCTAGTGCCCCCTTATGAGAAACATTCTTGAAAGCAGACAGCTCCAAGTTACGCACACCTTTTTTGGGTCCTGAAGGTGTCCACTAGCTGTACCACTTTTCTCAAACCAAGTGACACAAGTGACATAAACATTTAATTTCATCACTACATTGCACTACACGGATGTTGTAAGGCTGTAGGATCCGTGAGATGGTCTCAGAAGTGCCCTTAATGTAAGGTATAGTCACTATAGTAACAGGTGTTGGGTTCAAGTTCCTGTTCGTTGCGTCAGCTTCAGTAGGTCGGTAAATGTTTCGTCTAATAAAGTCAGCGTTGTTGTTGTTTTTGTAAAAAACACGTTCGAGGAATCTGTTTTCGTCACGTAAGCTGTCCGATGTGTCACAAACTATATGCGGTCGTCTCGTCAAAGTCTTTATAGTCGTGGCTTTGTGTGAAGTCGGGTTGTAGGATGATTCGTCAAGTAATCTGTCGGTATGCGTCTTACTTAAAAAGTAAGTCGAAAGTAAGTCGATCGACTTACTTTCAGTACAACGGTAAACACTACAAACAGTCGCATGGAAGAGCCATGGGGTCGCCTGTTTCTGTTATTGNTATCACCACAATGACTTATAACTGAACACTAAAGGGCATATCAGAATCATGATATACGCTTGATAAAATACTGTGAGACAGGCGTTAAAAAAGCCGTAATACTATACGCTGAAACGTTTAATAAGACAACTTGCATTTTTCGGTGATATTTTAAATACTCAAGATTTTTTTAGCTTATGTCTTAGGGTTATTTTTTCAGTTGTTGGCAGCGGTTGAAATTGAATTGAACTGCTGTTTATGATACGTCTGCACTGCAAAGTTAATTTCGTGAATGTACAGTGATTACTTGGTCTAAAATAATTAGCCCGATAAATGCGAGGTAATAAATAAATCCCTTTTTGGGGAGATTCTTTATGCTGCTGTTGATGCTGTAAAGCAATGTTTTCTCAGCTGTAAGCAACGTTTAAATTGAACTGACAAAGAACGGAAATTCTCTATGCTAAGTCATTTCAAAACGCGCTTCTCATTTCCCTTAGAACTTGTTTTTAATAATTTAAAAGGAACACACAAAGAACATTGAAAATCGTATTGATTTACTGATTGTGTTTTGTAATACCTTCTTCAATATTTTATTCTTAATCAACCAACCACAACTCAACATTGATTATAGCGCGGGTTGAATAATTCCAATTATGTTAATTGAGTTACTAATAGACAGCAATAACGCCAATTTTTTCCTTGCAGTTTAATCATAATTTCAGAAGTAGATATTGGAAAAGAAGGACAGAGAAAGTAAATTCGGATACCAAGGAAAAACTCAATCTTTGCAGGTAAGGTTTCCATGAGAAGCAACCTTTTGTTGCTCTCAGTCTGTACCATATTCCTCGGGCGCATGGCAACGGATGGCTTTGAAAAATTGATTCTGACCAATATAGTGTCGCATATCTTTATGTTTTAGATAATCATCATGGGAAAAGAAAACAGATCATAGTTTTAACCTGAAAAACTACAAAAAAATGGAAGTAAAATCATTAAATTTTCCTATCCACTTTCATAAGTTTTATAAAGTAAGCTCGATCTTGTTTAGTTATTTTGTTTTATTGAGGTTTCTCTACTCATTAATGTTTTATAACTTTGGTCCTTACCACGTTTAGCTAGTTCACCTGGGTTGCTCAAATATATATTCTGAAATTAGATTACAGAATCCTTTTTCAGGAATAACGTTTTGCTGATTTTTTATTAAGTTGCACACGAAAAGTTGGGAGAACATCACGCTACCTAACATGATGGATTTAAAATGGATGGTTTCTAGAATTTTGATTAAAAAGTTTCAGTTATTAATTATCGGATACTTTCATGAAATAAAGGTAGTAAAAGAGTTCGATTTTCCAGCAGTGAGAATTGAGAAACCGCTGAATCTTACCTATGCGCTCGGAGAGTTCATAATGGCCGCGGCCGCACTATGAGAGTTACCCGGGTTATTTATTTCGGTTAACCGAGTTACCGAAAAATTGTGATGCGTCTGGGTTAACGGTGACCATGGAAATTATTTAAATAAGAATAGATTTTTGACCTTTCTGCTTGGTTTAACCTTGGTCAGCGGTCTCTTCTCATTGACGTGCATTGGCTTTTTTGTGGAATGCGTGGTCTGTGTGTGAGATGTTGTTCACCGTGGCACAACGAAGTGCGTATTAGATCTTATACTTAACATGACGAGCGGTAACAAGAACAGTTATTCGTATAGTGTGATCGTCCCGGTGAGGGTAATTCTGAAAAGAACTGTTGTTGGTGACTGACGTTTCGACAACTTGAGCGGAAGTCATCTTCAGAGTTAAGTGAATAGTGTTTGTCAGTCGATGATGTTATAAGTCTGGTCCGTTGAACGTTATTGGTCAGTTTAACCATGATGGTATTGGCTGAAAGACTCGTGTAAAGTTTGTCATCAGTCATTGGTGGGTTTCGATCCGTCCATTGTTAGTCAAATAGGTCGGTTTTTGGTCCGTGTATTGTTAAGTCGGTCTGTTAGAAGTCCGTTTGTCGGTTTCGTTTCCGTTGTGGAGAATCTTTTGTAAGGCGCCGGTAGTTGCTGACATCTGTTAAGTGGCGTTTGTTCTAGGGTAGTGTACCAGCTTTCCAGAGTCAATCGTTGAAAATAGTTTGTACTGTAGGTTAAGCACTGAGCAGAGTGACTACAGACTACAGAGTTACTACAGTGACGATACCTTACATTAAGGGTACTTCTGAGACCATCTCACGGATCCTACAGCCTTACAATATCCGCCGTGTAGCCCACAAACCTACAACTACGCTACGACACTTACTGACTAACGTGAAAGACAGGGACGAACCTAACAACAGACAGGGAACAGTTAACAAGATCAAATGCTCCGACTGCCAGGCTTCCTACATTGGTGAGACTGGCAGAAACCTTAACATGAGACTAACTGAACACAAACGAGCCACGAGAAATGGTGATGCCAACAATCACATTGCTGCACATCATCAACTGACAAACCACAACATTGACTGGGACTCTGCTCGGTGCTTAACCTACAGTACAAACTATTTTCAGCGGTTGACTCTGGAAAGCTGGGTCACTAACCTAGAACAAACGCCTCTTAAGAGATGTCAACAACTACCGGCGCTTTACAGACGACTTTTCCACGACGGAAACGAAACTGACAAACGGACTTCTAAAAAACTTTGGTTGGAGTACCTATATTTTATTTTCTGGAACAATATATTGCCAGTGTTATACTTGATTATGGATTACCTATTTTGATTAGAGAATCAGATTAAGCTATTCATTATTTTCAGTTGCATTTCTCTCACTATGCTTGTGGCTAGACCAGGCACAGCCACTGTTTATTTACAGACTGTATATTTACTTTTCAACTGATGATCTTTTGGCTATTTGAAACAATCACCTTTAGAACTGACTACCAGCTTGATGTGTTGGAAACTGACATTCTTAAACTCATTAATAATTTATCAAGTTAAAACAAAGAAAATCACAACCGTGAGGGAGGTCTGGATACCCGGTCTTAATTAGCATAGATTTTGACGATTTTTCTTCTCCGTTTACTCCTTAGCCTTTGCTTGGATAATTTGAGAAGATCTATCAAACACTCGAGACTGTGTTTCATCCAAACACCTCGAATTTCATCAAAAATACTCTACTGGGCGTCATTTTTCAAATCTCTTCTTGGTGTTTGGATATCCCAATGAAACACTGTCCCTCGTGTTTGATATATTACATCAAGTGGTTACCGTCTCCATCAAGCCTCTTGTGAGAAATGTCTTTCTATGGAGTGTTTTCATATAGCTTTATGAAATCATTGGGATGAAAGTTAAGACAAACTGAGAACGTTTTACAATGTAATGCGAAGTCTTGCCTGTTAGAACATTAATTTTTCTGGTTTTAAATCGGTCTGCCTTCACCAGTTAATGCATTATTATTATTATTATTTTTATTTACAGACTTGATGGACATCGATATGACCAAGGAACATTTCAATCCTAACCGACCCATTGTCAGGTTTGTAGAACACTGGAAATCATTAGATTCTCTTTCAACATGAAAATTTTTGAAGACTGTTCTCAAAATGGAATTGTTTGAGATTGCAATTGAGTTTCTGAGTTCAGACAAAATCTGGAAATTTTCGAAAAATTAATGATAATGCTGTAATTCCCAAGATTGGTTACCGTTTGATTAATCTTGTTCCTGATTTGTTGTGGATAAAGTCCGAGAGATCTGGGAACAATATTAAATTCTGGGGGATGGGCGATACTCTACAAAGTTGTATATGGGAAGGCTCTGCTTCAAGGTCCAAGCCCTTACCCTTTTGTGTACCATTTTGACAGGAAAGGTATCCCTTTCGTAATTCTTTTATAGAATTGCATCCCTTTTCTAAACCCTGGAATGAAGTCAACAAATGATATTACTGGAGAACATGAAGCATAACCAGAAGAGATATTAACCAGAAAAACAAGGATTTTATATTCAGTTCATGCTCGTTTTGTACTGAAATGCCAGTTTTCCCTACCCTTTCATATACCTCAACTTGTGAAATCCCTACCCTTTTGTATACCTGAAGCCTGAAAAAGGTGGATGGAGCCTCCCCATGAAGGCCATTATAGGGGGCACCCCCCTCTCCACCCTGGGAATTAATTTAGGTTGTCATGCAATTTCTCCTTGTATTATTGAGTCATTGTCAAGCACATAGGTTAGGAGAATAAAGCAAATCATGGTGAAAATTGTCCTGTTACTGTACAGTGTACATGTACCACCAAATTCTCTGAACTAATATTGTAATTAAATGGTTTTCAGTAGCGACGAATCAGATGACAGTAACAGTGAAGTCAGTGATGATGACGTAAGTGATGATGATGATGATAACGATAATGGTGATGAAGATAATCGTCAAGCTGGAAGTTATGACGATGTTAGAAAAGGTAAACATGGAAAATATCAAGAAGAAAGTGGAGACGAAAAGACATTACAAAGTCATGACCAAGGAGAAGGTGCGTGTGGTGTTCTTGGTGAAGACGAACTGTTGGTTCGTAGTGTCGACGACGAAAACCTGCTGAGTTGTGAAAAGAATTCTAAGTTATCAACTGAGGAGGGTTTGCTCGAAATAACCGAGAGAACTGAACTTGTTAAGCTGGAAGATAGATAGCACTAGTGGCTTGTCTTCCTGCTGCCTTGATAAAACCGTAGGAAAACGTAAAATACACGAAAGGTATTAAGGTAGAACCCTCCCATTAATGAGAGCTCCAATTACGAGAGCTGCAACATTTCTGAAAAATAGTGGCGTTTCGTCCTGGACACTCTCAGTACAGTAAGACCAAATTGTGTGATTTACACCCCCAAGCTAGACGACGAGTATCCGTGATCTATACCCGTGGGAGTCCCCTTCTTCCCCCCCCCCTCTCTCTCTCCCCCGGGGAAGAAAAACTACAAAGATAGCATAATAAGCCACAGATAGCGAGGATAGTTGAGGTTTGGGACGATTGAGACGCACATAAAGGCGGAAACTAAGCCCCACCCCAAAAAATCGCTTACACGAAGCACTCAAAACCCGATAACGAAGCACCAAAAGTCTAAATCGAGACTTGCTTATTGCGAAACTTGCGAATAGCTTCAAATTCGAAAGCGAAGACAAATTACGCAAAAGTCGAAAACGAAGCGGCACCAAAACGAAACACTCAGTCAAGATTAAACATGTGACATCAAAAACTCTAAAATGAAGAGGAGGGTTCTGAACACCTGAATACCGCAATACCGCGACACTTTAATCGGCCGAGTCGAAACTTGATGTCATACTGAAACCACTACTCTGTGTGTTAGTTTAGAGCAAATAACAGGGAAACAACAATAAGGAATTGTAATTTTCGATTTAGACAAAATAAACAAAATAAGTTACATCCATTCGCGTGTTGACTAATAATTAACTAAAAATAACTTACCCTTTTCCGATGGGAAACTGGAAAAGGCTCGGAAAACGTTGGAGGACTTGGAGAATAATCTTTGATACCGTCCAAACAGTGTAAAAAAAAAAAAAAAAAAAA